TTCTTTCCTCATCTGACAGCATCATTCCTGCGGCAGCAGGTCTTCCAAGTGTTCTAAGAATTTGCTCGGGCTCACATCCCAGTGACGTAGCAGTAGCGTAGCAGTAGCGTAGCAGCGACGTATGTACGCAAGGTATATGAACGTTAATATCTCCCCCACCCCACACATGCCCAGTGACGTAGCAGCAGCGTAGCATCCACGTATGTACGCAAGGTACATGAACGTTAATATCCTCCCTCCACCTCACCCTTGCCCAGTGACGTAGCAGCAGCGTAGCATCCACGTATGTACGCAAGGTACCTGAACGTTAATCCCCCCCACCTCACCCAACCCCCATATAGCTAAAATATGTATTTCGGTCCACGGCCGTCAAGGCGCCGGGTACCAACTACAACTTCCTCAGGAAAAATGGCGGATGTCAACAAGCAACAATGGTCGAACCTAAGGCCAAGCTTTGAAGACTCGATGGCAAGGTCACCCACTCCAGGTTTTGGTTGAATTTATTGTCAAAACTCAAGTTTTCAAAACTCGATGACGAGGTCAACTGCTCCAGGTTTTGATTGAAATTGAGGCCAAAACTCACGCCTAGAAGCCAAATCTCAGACTTTGAGGACTCGATGGCAATGTCAAAACTGGCTCAGGTTTTGGTGGAAATTATGGACGAAATTCAAATTTTAATAACTCGATGGCAAGGTCAACTGCTCCAGTCTTTGGTTGAAAGTAATGACAAAACTCAAGCTTAGAAGCCTCGATGGCAAGGTCACCCACTCCAGGTTTTGGTTGAAATTAGTGTCAAAACTCAAGTTTAAAAAACTCAATGTGTAGCGTGCAATGTGGATGTGAGTCCCAAATGTCACATCAAAACTATCAAAGATTGTAAATAGTAATCAAGTGCATCAACAGTAGTCGCACACTACAGATAGGCTACCTGGCCAGTGTCAGCTTGAAGTTGTTGAGGAAATTGACGGAATCCAAATCAAAGCCCTTGGGAATTGTATACGTATAAACTAATAATCATGTGTACACACATATATATATATATATATACATAGATATAGAGAGAGATAATATTGTGAAATTATTATATATATATATATACATACCAGTAGTACTGCACAAGGCTGTGGCGGAAGTGTCAAAAATAGGAAACCTATAGGAGAGATTAGTTTCTGTGAATCACGGATGGCAGAGCAAATCCACTGATGGACCGACAGGGGATTGGAGCTGTGTTTTTTGGAGTGGTTGCAATGGTTGCAGTGGTCACCAGGTCGGTCACCTCACCCACAACTGCTCGATGTAGTGTGGTGTAGCGCAGCTGTAGTTGTAGTTGTAGTGTCGTGGAGCTGTAACTGTGGTGTAGTGTAATTAGTGTAGTGTAGTTGCAGTTGCATTTGTGGTGGTGTAATGAATGTAGGGTAATGTAATGTAATGTAATGTAACGTAATGTAACGCAATGTGGGGTAGGGTAGCGTAGTGTAATGTAATTGAGTGTGGTGTGGTGTGGCATGGTGTAGTGTGTAGTGTGTTGTGTGTAGTGTCGTGTCGTGTCGTGTCGTGTCGTGTCGTGTCGTGTAGTGTAGTGTAGTGTAGTCGCGTCACAACGGCGTGCAATTTTTCATTTCTCATCTGCCAACCGGCTCCGCACCCGCCGCTTTAGCGAGCGTACTTTTCGACTCTCCGGAGCCACAAATCATTGGAAAAACACAGTGTTTCGCGCCTTTCCTACCTTTTTCGCGCGTCTGCATCTTCTTTCTTCTGACTCTTTCTCTTCTCTCATCTGCTCTCTTCTACTCTTCTCTTCTCTCTGACTCTTCCCATCTCTGCTTTTCATCTGTCCATATTGTTGGAAGTTTGACTTCTAAACGTCCTTCGATAATTATCTGCATCATGGTAAAATAATCTGCATCATGCTTTGAGACCCAATCAAACAAGCTGTAAACCAAGCAGTCACAGCCTCAGCCAGCAGTTCAGTGTTCTGCTCCAGAAACCTGCTGGAGGACACCAAAGGCCGAACACAGAGTGGCATCCGAGAGCATTAAACCGCATTATAAACCATCCCATATATGACCATAAATGGATAGTTGAATCACCCCAAATGGTAGGTTTATTATTAGGCTTACCACAGCAGTTTGCACCAGCAAATTGAAATAGTGGATGCTTACCTTGTCATCATCAACCTCTCCTCTGAGGATCAAACCCTTGGCAAGTCAAGATCTGCCAGAAGTCACAAAGCCACATTGCCTCGGCCCAATGGCACACCTGGTAAGCCCGGTACAACCACTTACTCCAACTCCCTGTGCATCGAGAACCGATGCTGTTCACCGAGCCCCTGACCTTTTTTTTGGCTGAAGGCACGGAGCGAATGGATCGTGAAAGACGCAACGAGGCCGTTGCGAACAGATTCCCAGAGATCAAGAGAGAAAGCAAAAGCGTGATACAAACATTTGCAGAACTTTGGACTTGTCAACATCGAAAATGTTTCAGCTTGCGCCAAGACCACGGGAAACATGTCAAGTTCGCACAAGCTCGGAGAGGTTGCTGAAGCCAACAAAAGGCAGTGGATGCAGTGGATGCAGGACCAAAAGCTTCCATGGGATAGTGCAAACCTGTGCGAACCTAAACACTGTCACAAATGCAGCTCCAATTTGAAGGGTTTCTCAACTCGAGTTTTTCCTAAGTTGGTTACTACTTAGAAATCTGGGGTTCAGCATTACAATTTGTTCTTTGGGTACAATTTATCAATGGTTATTGGTTATTAGTCAAATTTGAGTAAAACCCAAAATGAGCATGGTTAAACAATAAATAAGTCCGAATTGTATGGAATTGGTCTTGGGTTTACCACATTTACGACATGGAGGTGCAACTGCATTCGACATTCAAAATGACTGTCAGGTCTGAGGAACACCGCCTTTGCCGGCCTCATCCGGATCTTTTACGGTGTGAGTGCCCCGACCTGCCACGTTGGTGTTGCTGGCGAAACCCCAGGAATCCAAGAATCAAAATGAAGTGGATTTGAAGGGAAATACTTGCAGATTTGAGTGGGTCCAAAAAAACCTCGAATTCCTGTCAAACATTCAAAATTAAGCAAGTTACAAGAGAAAAAACACCATACCTTCAACATTTCAATAGCGCTGGATCTTCAGGGCTTCCATGCAGCCTGCCGCTTGCACTGCCAAGATCAGTGGCGTAGCACCCATTGCCCGAGCAAAGTCCTTCGCACAGAGAGTAAACCTGTGACCGTATCCAAAACAAACGAAGCCAGAAGCTAATGACCGGTATTGCACAGCTCCTTCATGAAAATTTGTGTTCTTGCAACAAATCAGGAAAGGAGACTCTTCCAAAGGAATCAAGAGGAATCAAGAGGGTGCATCCCCAACCCCAGTTTTTCCCTCGTTTGGAACTGTCCTGGAGCCGTGCGTTGCTACCTGCATTGGGAAGATTCGTTCGGGATGCAGCTGGCAATGATCAAAAAGGCACAGACCGCCCACCAAACTTTTGAACGGAACCGCCAAATCTTCATGTGCGTGTGTATATATATAGGTATTTCAGGTGACAGGTGTGTTTGTGTCCATCAATAATGGGATCTAGTTTCTGCCCGTGGTTCCTTTCGAACAGTTTTGATGGACTCGGGAGTCTGACAGACAGGTCTGAAATCTTCGGGCCTGAGCCAATGGCTTTGACCTCAGCTTTCACTTCCTGGCGTGGCGAAAGGATGCGAAAGGTTCCCACTGAGATTGGAAGGATTGGAAGCCGATTGGAAGGATGTAAAGACAGCAGATTTGAGGTTTGACATAGACTCATTAGACTTGATAGGTTTGCAAGTTTGAACTTGACAACCCAAGAGGACCCAAAAGGATCCAACCCCATGACCCTGTCGCTGCCCACCGTGTCCAAATCGGGGAACGAGACCAACTCCTGACAGATCACTTCAGCAGTGGCAGCTACATTGGAAAGATTTGGAGAACATCCACCTATAGGCTTGACCTCTACAATTAAGCTGCAATGTCTCTCCGTGCATGAAAATACAGGAGGCGTTGCAGATGTGTCCTTGAGCGCTGCCATCTTCAATCCCCATGCCTCAAGAAAAATAGTGTTCAGAACGCCCGAGCATGCATCCCACCATGACGAGTGACTCGTGACTCGGCCTCACCCTACCTTTTTTAACTCCCAGCAATCATTGGCATGCAAACAGTTCCGAGAATGCTCTCTATCTTTGCAGCTGAACATGTATTAAAGATCTCCTTTGATCTTATGATCAGGAAAAAAACATTCACACATGGCACGAACAACATGGCTTCATGGCTAACCACGACCAAAAACAGGGCTCCGGACCGCTGCACCTATGAGTGAAGTCACCAAGGAGGCGCGCGCTCCCCGTCCCCTCGTGGCCCACCTGCACCGGCCAATCCCAATGGATCAGTGGGTTGATACTTGGAAAACTATGGGCAAACCAGGGGAAAACCATGGGAAACTGACATGAGAATGCTGATTTCGATGAAATCCTAATAAATCTCAGGGTTTTCCCCTACAAATCATCACGCTCATATGGGAAAAATTAGATCTCCTACAATTAAGTTAAATGGATTATTCCGCTATCATACCTAATATATTCTAGTAATAATAATAATAATAGTAGACATCCCAGATATTTCCGATGAAGTGATTTCGGGTATTCGCCTAGCAAGTCTAGTAATATCCTGATAAAATCCAATAATGAACTATATACTGATCCAGTTTGTTTTGTGCGGTTTAGTATGATGCAATTACCCCTTACCAGTAGTAAACATCCCAGCAATCATCCCGATGATCATCCCAGTAGTAGCCCTCATTCAGATTTGGATCCAGATACCTTGAATTTAGATCCAGATACCTTGAATTTCACATATATACATAGAAATCTATTTAGGTAGATAGATGCAAATGTGATATGACATATATCTATGCACGTAAGTCTCTTTGCAGCCCCACTCCGGCTATTTTTCGTCCACGATCGTTTCGACTTCTTCTGCGCTCGCTTGGCAGCCGCTTCCGCGGATCGCTTACGCAAGTCACCCTCACGCAGCTCCAGAGGGGAAAGTTCAAGAATGAGGGGATAGTGTGAATCAGCATCGTTGTCTGAAAGTCTCAACTCCTCACTTGTCCAGCGCTCCGCCACCGCGCCTTTCACTGCGCCTCGCAGCTGAGGCAACTTGGCGAAATTCAGCAGCACGCAACAGATCTCCGCGCTGCGATCACCATGTAGAACCTCGTAACTCGCTCCCTCGAACTGCTCGATAACACAATCCACTGCATGACGAATAGCGTGGGGTTCTAAGTTGAAGTCGCCTGCAACGACACGATGTTTGTCTCGGAGCCCAAAAACAAAATAGTGTCTTTAATGCAAGCTTGCACGACTCGACGGAACGCTTCTCGTCGTTGTGGGCGTGCACTGTGGTAACCCGGAAGGAACTGAGGCCGGCTCGAGATATAACTCCACCGTTCGCTTCATTGACCCATTGCACCTCCGCAGACAGGCAAACTAATGAATGGATGCGATCACCTTGTTTGGCCGAATCCTTGTAGGGTCGCTCCATCAATCCATCCCAGGTCGGATATATACGGCTGAGATACTTTGTCCCTGTCTGTCCAGCTAGGACAGCCATGCATGACCCAACCCGGCCTAGACCCTCTAAGATGCACATGTCCCGTGCTTTTGCAATTCGGTGCAAGATGCCACAGGAGTGAGCTTCTTGAAGAAGGACGACCGAAAAATTGCCTGCTATGAAATCAGAAAAGCGCCGGCTGCGATCGATGAGGCCGACATTTGCGACCAACAACGATATCGTATTCGTGCTTTGCAAGTCTACGGGCAAAGTGCTCGAAGATGACGGCAACGCAAGTGACCGGTTTGTTGTAGGAGACGGATCCTTGTAACCGACACCCGTCTTGTCGTGGGCCACACGGTCTGACACCGGTAAATCTCCAAAAAAGTCCTGGGCATTGTTGCACTCTTCCCTGGAGCTGACAGCTGCAGCCGAAAATCTCCCAACACTGCCGCGCATGGGCCGTATCGGCGCGGGCAGCCAAGCTGGAGGCCAAGCTTCATTGCCCCAGCCGGGCGTGTGCAAAACCATGTCTCTGGAATCCTGCGGGTCATCTTCCTCTTGCGCCATGCCCTGCGACCATGGCCAAGAGTGTGCCATGCTAGCAGGTCTACTAGTGTGTATACTTCCAAGTAGCACTCTGAACAGTTAGTAGTACCGTAAGGTAATGGTTAAGAGCACATATCCTGAATGGTTTGTGGAATTGTGAGTTGAGGATGAGTAGCACATAGAAAGAAGGGTTAGTGAAAGAGTATAAAGCATTAAGAAACCACCCATACAGGATTAGGAGAGGATCACGCATCTCGCATACCTGACATTCAAATCATTCAATGGCGATCATTGCACATAATTGGTGCTCATGGCTGCTGAGACTGCTGATTTCGGTGAAATCCTAATAAATCTCAGTGTTTTCCCACTTCTTATCATGGCCTCGGAAGCGCGAACCCGCTGAGATGAACATGGGATGCAGTTTTTAAAAAGAAACTGCTATATTCAAAGCCACCAAGGTAGAAGATATGAAACCCGCAAAACAAAGTAGAACATGTAAATTGGGGGCATGTAAAATCACAGCTTGGAATATTGATGACTATTAAGGATACAATGGGGATTCAAACCAATAATGCGATTTTGGGATATGTTGGGTGCGTCTGAAAATGTGGTATACCCCATGGCAATTTGATGGGGCAAATGATGAATGATAAACCAGTGCATTTAATGGGAGTCCTATTTGAAAACCAACCACAACAAAGCCACATGCTCTATGCTGGTATGTTGACCCGTGACAACAGAATTGTCAGCTACAAATGACCCAAAATCGTCCAAAATCCAAATATCTCGCAAATATCAGATAGTTTGTCAAAGGATATTCATAAACAATAGGCTTGGATACGCCCTTTATTTTCATGTTTTTTTCAAATACGTCCTGTGAGTAGGAGCCAATCAAAATCAAGGCCTCTGCCTCGACCATGATGTGCATCCCAGTGGATGTAAGTGGTCTAGAACATGTTTTAACCCTATAGCTATCATATGCTATCATATAATCCCACATATTAGTGGATTAATGGCTTAGTGATTTGTAATCCATTAATTCACCCATTTCATCTAAGTGGGGATATTCCACTATATTCCGCTAATCTGATTGGGAAAGTTTAACTTCATCTAATCGATGCCTTCAACCTGCACCCCATATACCCCATCGTCCAGGAACTGTAGATGTCAGGTCGGTAGATCTTCTCATAACATTTGGTCAAAGGCGAGCTGATGTACAGTGAACTAAAAAAAACTCGATTCCCTCAGCTCCTTCCTCTCCTGCGGACGACATTCAGAAAAAAACGAGGCACTTGGTCCCTGTGGCTGTTACCCGACCTGCAGGGGCATCTAGCTATTACTGATATCCCCACATATCTGCAAAAAACCTACCAACCAAGTGAAATAAACATAAATAAACAAAGTAATCATGAGTTATATGAGTTACGTTATATGTTTTAATCAATAACAGCTCAACTAAAAATATATGAATGTAAAGAACATGGGAGTTTTATATCACCTACCGTCAAGATGCATGCATATTTTCCCAGCAAGCCACATTGGATTACAACGATTACGACCAGCTGATCGACGTCGCCTTCTCGAGTTCACGG